GGTATTTCAAATGCCAGCAGGGTCACCTGAAGGGAGCAGGTTTCAGCAGTTTGCAGTCTAATAACAGACTACGAGAAAGAAATAGGCTGCCCACTTCTGAGGAATTAGCCACTGAAAGCCTTGAGTTGCAGAGGAATGATGTCAGGCACTGAAAAGGTCATTCGTTGCGGTTGAACATCGTCAGATATAAAGCCCAACGATGAGCTACTCAGGCGAGAAGGCGCTCAAACTATGACCGAGGAGAACTCCCCTCTCAAAACAGAGCCAACCATCATCACCTCTTCATCAGAAAATGCCTTTCTTTCAACAACAGAAAAGGCATGGACTTCTCTAGATGGAGTACACAGAAATCAACTTGACCACAACTGTGGGAAGAGATGATAGAGAAGCTCAATATCAATATCAAAACGAGGTCAGAAGCTGATTGTGGAATTGCCCATCTGTAAGTTCAGGTTGGATCTGAAAAAAATTAGAACAGGTCCATGAGAGCCAAAATAAGACCATGAGTCCATCCCACCTGAATTTTGAGAACATCTCAAGAACAGATTTGACACATTGAACAGTAATGACAGAAGACCTAAGGAACTGTGGGATGATGTCAAGAATATCATACACGAAAAGAGAAAGAAGTAAATTAAAAAGACAGAAAAGAAAAAGAAAGCTCAAAGTGGATATGGGAAGAGATTCTGAAACTTGCTCTTAATCATAGAGAAGCTAAAGCAAATGGAAGAAATGTTGAAATCAAAGAGCTGAGCAGAAATTTTCAAAGAGCAGCTCACAAAGACAAAGTGAAAGATAATAATGAAATATGCCAAGAGCTAGCGTTAGAACATCAAAAAGTAAGAGCACATTCAACACGTCTTACACTGAAGAAGTCAGGAGAAAATTTAGGCTTTGAGCTGCAACACTGAAAGATTTTATAGGCAAAATACTGAACCATGCAGGAAATATCAAAACACAATGGAAAGAACACACAGAGTCAATGTACAAAAAAGAACAAATTGAACTCAACCATTTCGAGAGGTAGCATATGATCAAGAGTCAAGGGTACCAAAAGAAGTTCAAGCTGCACTGAAGGTGTCAGCCAAAAACAAGGATCAAGGAATTGATGGGTTACCCATTGAAATGTTTCAACAAGTTGCGGAATCACTAGAAATATTCCTCTATGCCAAGAAACTTGGAAGATAGCTACCTGGCCAAATCACTGGAAGAAATCCATATTTTTACCCATTCCAATGAAAGGTGGTCCAATAGAAAGTGCAAATTGTAGACCAACATCAGTGATACCATATGCAAGTTAAGACTTTGCCGGAGATCATTCAACAACAATTCTAGCAGTACATTGACAGGGAGCTGCCAGAGGTTCAGGCTGGATTCAGAAGAGAAGGTGGACCGGGGATATCATTGCTGGATGGATCTTGCCTCAAAACAGAAAATACTAGAAAGATGTTTACTCATGGTTTATTGAGTATACTAAGGCATTAGTCTGTGTAAATCAGAATAAACCTTGGATAGCCTTAAGGAAAAAAATGGGAATTCCCAAACACTTAATTGTGCTCATGAGGAATGTGTGCATGGATCAAGAAAGAGGCAGTTGTGGAATGAAAGAGGCAAACAATGGAATGGTTTAAGATCAAGAAAGGTGAATCAGTGTTATATCCTCTCAAATAATCCTGAGCAAATAATCAGAGAAGCTGTATGAAGAAAAATGCGGCATCGAGATTGGAGAAGACTTATTGCAGATAATAAAACCAAGCTTGCTGAAAGTGAGGAGGAGGCTTGAAGTACTTGATGATGAAGAAGATCAATGATTGCTACCTTCAAAATGGATTACAACTTATTGTAAAGAACACAAAAACCCTCCTAATGGGACCAGTAGTTAACATCTTGATAAATGGAGATCAAAGTTGTCAAGGATTTCATCTTGTGTGGATCCAAAATCAGTTTTCTTGGAAGCAGCAGTCAGGAGATCAAAAGGTTTCTTGCATTGAGTAAAGCTTCTGTACAAGAACTTGGTAAAGTATGGAAAATCAAGGCTGTCACTTTGAAGTGTGAGGTGTGCCTGGCCCAAGTCCTGCTATTCTCAATCACCTCATGTGCATGTGAATGTTGGACACTGAATAAGGAAGACTGAAGAGCCGAGGCTTTTGAGTTACATTGCTGGCAAAGAACATCGAAGGTACCAGTACTGCCAAGGGAACAAACAAGTCTCTCTTGTAGGAAGTTCAGCCAATATGCTCCTTAGAGGCGAGGATGGTGAGCCTTGGTCTCACATACTTTGGACACGTTGTCAGGAGAAATCAGGCCCGTGAGAAGGACATCATGGTGGGGAAAGTGGAGGCGCCGCGAGAAAGAGGAAGCGCATTGGAGAGATGAATGGACACCGTGGCTGCCATGGTGGGCTTGGACAAAAGAACAAGTGTGAGGATGGTGCAGGACCAGGTCTCGTTTCATTCTGCTGTACTTAGGGTTGCTACGCATTGGAACCAGTTCACTGGCACCTAACAGTAACAACAGCATTGCACAGGCCCCTGAATTAAATTACTTTTGCTGTTAACTAGTATTAGCTTATGGTATCCAAGGTTATCTAAATACCTCCAAGGGGAAGGCAGGAAGACATGTACATTGTACACTTTTAATTGGCAAGAGGAATTTGTGTGGCATAGCGGGTTATCCGCTGGGTAATTAACTGAAAGTTCAGCCGTTCGTATCTGCTTGTGTTTCTGCAGTAGAAAGATGAGAGTCTGCTCGCATAAACATGCATAGTCTCAGGCACCCCGCGTCAGTCCTGCTCTGTCCCGAGGCCCTCTGTGAGCTGGAATTGACTTGATGGCCGTGGGTTTGGCTTGTTCTGTTCAGTAACAGGCAAGAAGTAAGCTGAGATTGTGTTGGGGAATGCAGCACAATTATTTATCCATATAAACATGAAAATCATTCATGTGCTAAACGCCAAACTAGTATAAATCTTCTCTCTGGTAGCACTGTCAGGTAAACATTGGACTACTAACTGCAAGGTCAATGGTTCAAACCGACTGGCCACTCTTCAGGAGAATGAAGAGGCTATCGGCTCCTGTAAGTATTGACAGGCTCGGAAGCCCCATATAGGGTCGCTACGAGTCGGAATCAACTCAATGGCAGTTGGCTTGTGTTTTGGTTTTATTCAATCGAGGATCCCTTGGCAGTTCATATGCACCAGCCTCTTGTGGGGGAAAGCTGAAGCCATGTGCTTCTGTAGGTTCACTGCCTCAGGAATCCTCAGTCTCAAGAATATCTAGGCTTATTGGGAGTTGGAATGGATTCAGTGGCAATGGATTTGAGTTTATTCAAAATCATTCCTTCCACAGAAACTGAGCCCCATCCTTAACTATTTCTGGCATCAAAGCACGTGGCATCAAAGCATGGCAGATTTTTGTCAAAAGTGATGTAGGACGTAATTTCTACTGAGGGCAAAGTATCTTGAATTCTTTCAAACCCAATATTCAGTTCTCAGGGCTCTAAGTCACATAAAAAACAAAAGAACGAAATGGGAGCAGCTTGACTGATGTAGTGTCTTTTAGCCCAAGACTGTTAGCACCCAAAGCCTCACACACAAACTCACTGCCTTTGAGTCCATCCCAACTCAGTGACCCTACAGGACAGAGCAGACCCGCCCTGTGGCTGGTGCACAGGGGCTCTCCTCAGGCCCCTCGAGCAGCCCTGCCCCATGTCAGCCACTGCCGTCCCATTTGGCACTGCTTTTCAGAGGATTTTTCAGTTTTGGGCTTGAGTTTTGAGAAATACCTCTTTCGGTTTTCCTTGCTGCATGACGAAAACTAAAGGAAACCTCCGTGCCACGATGTTTCCCTTCCCAGGCCGGAAGCTCTGGATTTTCACCCAGCGCACAGCCAATCGCCACGGCTTCAATCGCCACGGCTTCATTCCCACTCAGGTGCTAAGGCTCCGACCCTCGCTGCCATTGGGTGGGTTCTAATTCATAGTGGGTGGGTACTGAGGTGTCCATCTTTCCGGGAGGAGACAGCCTCCTCTTCTTCCGCATAACAACCAGTGCTGCCCTGAGCTTAGCAGCCCAATGAAGAGCCTGGGGCATCTCCAGGGCTCCTCTCTGGGTTGTAAGATGATTTAATGTTGGATACATTATGTGTGCTTTCTAAACCATCAACATTTTTTAAAAACGTGTCTGCTTTGCCCACCATGCCTACAGATCTCAAAGAGTAAGCACATCAAAATTATCTGTGGATCCCCAAGACTGCGATCCTTAGACACCATTCAAACCAGGAACTAAATCAACTCCCCGAGTAGATTCCACCGTGCAGCCTAATGACAGGCAGGCGTCAATAGTCACCCTGCTAAGAATGTGTTCCTTCGGGCCATCAACCACAGCAGACCAAAAGGGCAGCATTTTCCCAAAACACAAAGTTCAGAAGGCAGGAAGGGGTGGGAGACTGGGTGCATTGAAATGGGGAACCCAGGAAGTGGGAAGGGTGCTGGCACGCTGAGGGAACTGTCACTAATGTCCAAAAATGTGGATCCGTTGTTAGGTGGGAAATTAGTCTGCTCTGCCAACTTCCGCACAAGCCAGTTTTGCTTTGTGTTTGTTGAATAAATATACAAGGGCGCGTGAAAGAAACCCGCTGGTACTCTGCTGCTTGTGATAATGAAGTACACTAACAAAAAGACACTCCGGGTCACACGATCAAGTCTGTCGGGCTGAACCAGTGCTTAGAGAATCCAGACATTTCCTTTGCCCTGAACACAGGGACCTGGATGTGCGCCACGTCGATGCGGTTCGCTGCCGCTGAGTTGGTCCCTCGTGGCACGCCACGCCCAGCAGAAGGAACCACTGCGACGCCTTGAGCCGCTCCCAGCTGTGGGTGCAGGGATGCCCTGTGCGTCGGCCGAGGCTGGCCCTGCAGTCATGCACGAGTGTGAGTGTGCACGTGTGTCTGTGTCTGAGGGAGGATGCTGGGGTCGATAAAACACACGGAGAGTCACTCGGGAAGGCAGGTTCTAAGTTGTTACTTTTATTTTGAAGGGTTTGTCAAACTCTCACATCATGGCGAGAGTTTGCACGATTAATGAGAAGCAGCTTTTTCATGAAATGCTTGGAGGTGACGAGTTCTCAGCCTGCGAGATCCAACTGTTCCATTGACTTAGAAGGGTTCTCTTGATTAACAGAAGCCAAAAATGGTGGTGGGGGTGGTGGGGTGGGGGGACGTGCTAGAAACCAAAGGGAAAAAACCCTCGTGACAGCCACCCAAACTTGGAAGGAAAAAAAAGATCACCAGCTCCACTTCTACTCTACAACTTTCTGTGTCTCGCTCTTGATTTCGGCCTTCCTGGCAGAAACAGCCTCCTAGACCCCATTTCCCCAAGGCAGCTGGGAGAGAAGCCTGGCAGGAGGTGGTGGTGCATCCCCCTCCCCCCACGGGCTTTGCTCCCAAGCCAAAAGCTGAATGTGAAAAGAAGCTGCAGCGAAAGGGAAGTGGGGAGGAACTGGGCTGACCCGAGGGCTATGATGTTCCTACCTCGGCCCAGAGTCCTTCTCTCAGTTGCTGTCCTGGGTCAGCAAGCCTTGCTCTCTGAGGGACTGGTTAGTGGGTTCGGCAGGGAGTCCCTCACCACTGGCCCTCTAGTCCCAGAATCATCCTTGCCTACATCACATGTCTGGTACTTCTCCTTGCCTACCTCTGGGCCATATGGGGAAGATCCCCCAGGCCGCCAATACCTTCCAATAAAACTAACGCAAAGTCGGATCGGATGAGTATTAATTTCATACTGAGAAAGAGAGAGATTCTGAAGATGCAATATGTGTGTAAGGCAGAGCCGAGCGGATCAAAATTTCCCCTGGGAAGCCAGCCAGACAATGGGCAATGCTGCAAAAGGCCGGAGAGCGATGGGGGCCGTTAGTGTGGTGAGCAACAGGCTCGATGGGCACGTTGACCACTACACATGTCATGACTTGGGTTATGATTTCTGTTTTAGCACCGTTAGTACAGTCATTTAAATCTACATTAGCACCTTGTCCCCAGGCAGAACCACAAACCATCCAAACATTTTAAACATGGGGGAAAATAGGAAGAGGGAGGTCAAAGAGAGAGAATGGGGTGCTGCTGGAGCAGGCGTGGACTTAGATGACAAGCTCCTTGTCGATGTCCTCTGCAAATCAAGGGGAGAGAGCAGAGGTAAGGACGAGGCCCGGCACCCAGGAAAACGGGCTTCTCCGGGAGCCCGGGCCCCCCCCGCCCACCCCCACCCCCCAACTCCCAGGACCAGCAGCCAGACAACTGGCTCCAGGTCCCACCAGACATTGGTGTCAGAAATCTTGGTTTCCCGGATTCTGGCCTGGCCTGTTTTTCCATCTGCCAAGTTACCCCTCCTATTTCCTTTTCTGTGCCTCCCAGTTCCCCAAAGTGAGCGCTAATGCTGGGAGAAGGGAGAGAGAAAGAGACAGAGAGAGCAGATAGCAGTCCAACAGAGAGAGTAGAGACAGGCCAAGAAAAGGACAGACTCACAGACAGAGTAGAGACACAGAGAGGACAGACAGGCACCGAGAGGGCACACACGGAGGAGAGACCCCAGGAGGGAGGCCCAGGCTGGGAGGCCCTGAGCATGAACCAATGACCTTGGGGGCCCGGAGCCCTTCTGCCCTCCGACACTCACTCTCCTTGATGCCAAAGCAGCCGGCCCACTCATCCAGGGCGATGTACTTGTCGTTGTCCAGGTCACAGGCCTCAAAGAAGCGGGTGGTGCAGTGCTCCATGGGGATGAGGGGGGCACGCAGGGGGGCCAGCTCTGTGTGAGACAGGTACCTGCAGAGGAGGAAGCGGGGCAGAGGGCGCTGGAGTGGGCTGGGAAGCCAGGATCCTGGGTCTACCCTCGCTCTGCCTCTCACCGGCCCGCTGTGGGACTCAAAGAACAGCAATGGCCCATTCTGAGCCTCGGTTTCCCCTCATCAAGTAAAAAGAGCGGGCCATCATTTCTCAGGGCCCTTCCAGGTTCCACGTTCCATGGGTGGGCTCAACAGGGAAGGGCTCCTGGTGTATTTGACTGTTCGGCAATCGGTTGCGAGAGGCCGAGTGATGTAACGTTAGGATCCTCAGCACTCACCCTTCCAGTAGACCTGCTGTGAAGCACGCATGCCTAAGACAGCTGCAAAGGTCTAGGAAAGGCCGTCCTATAAGGTGCACACACAAAGGGCGTGGGAAGGGCCCCCGGATTGGCAGCCAAGATCAAAGGAAAGGCCACTCCTCTCGCGGACCTTTAACTTTCTGTCTATATGGATGCATGGACCTTCTCCCCATGACCTTGTTCTCCAGAGCCCCGCGACGGACTGTTTCCCAAACGCTCTTCCCTGAGGAGCTCCAGGGAACACCACGACCCCATTCTCTCCCTAACCTCCAAAGCCACCCCCACCCCCAGCCTGGGAGGAACCCCATACTGCTTGAACTGGAAGCATGCCCCCATCCCCGCCCCTCCTCTTCATTGTACGTCTGGGATAACTAAAACCCCCGAAGGACCAAGGGCTCAGTCAAGGTCACACAGCTGCTCTGGGAGCGGAAGAGGAGAGCACGGACTCCCTGGTCTGGGGCTGAAGCACTTTCCCAGAGACGCCTCTGGAAACCCCCCCACCCCCCACCCCTGACCCGCCTGAGTGCCAGGTGTGCCCGACTGACTCAGCGGGATCCCAGCTGTGGAGACAGCCTGGGAGAAGGGCAGCTTCCCAAGAGCTCAGGAGACCTCAGCCCCCAGGGTGGACAGGCTCCAGGCCCACGGGCTGGATAAAGAGCATGGGTCCAGCCCCCAGAGTGGAGCTGCCCTGCCTCACCTCACTCCCCAAGCATGAGAGAAGGCTGCCCCTTCTCTCCCTGTGCACCTCAGAGGGACACAGAGCAAAAGCCCAGAAGGTGACGACAGGGCAGGTTTTTCCAGATGGAGCAAGTCACCACCTGTACCTCCCAGGAGGCTTTAATATCGCCAACCCATTGCGAGAAGCGGGTGCCCATGGCCAGATCATCGCATGGAGTGTGAGCTCCCTGGAGGCAGGGACCCTGTCTGTCCTGAGGCATGTTCAAGCCCCTTAAATAGCACGGGGCCTTTGTTTAGGGGACGCTGAGCTCAGGTCAGTGGTGGGAGAATGATTTGGAACGTTGATAGTGACCTGGAACCAATTTGGTGGCGGAGGGCATGGTCACACACCCTCCTGAAGAATGAAAGTGTTGTTACTGAATGGGACAGGTAAAGGGCTGCAGTGTGATGTTCTCTCCCAGATGACATTTTTTTTTAAATGATGGGATGCTATAGACTCTCAGTACATGTTGCTTCACTAATCAGCTGCCTGAGTATTCTGCAGAGCACTTACCCAGCACCTCCGAACTCATTTGGACAAGGTGTGAGAGCCCTTGAACCCAGGGCTTCCCACGTGGACTGGGCCGAGACCATGAATTGTGTAAGAGCCTCCAGAGTCGGTGTTTGGGCTGGACCTAAGGGCTCAGGGTGGGGCTCAGGCACTGCAGATATCAGCCCCTGCCAATAGTGGCCAGGCATTCCTTCCAACCAATAGACACCCAGGCCCCAGCCCTCTCAGAGCAGAGGATGGAATTCCACTTTGACTTTTTTTACTTCAATGTCCGCCCCTTCTAGCAAAGGAGCGAGCATCTGATCATGTTCTCTCAACAAGTCTTCATCCTTTCTCCAGAAGCCTGTTCCCTGGCCCAACCCCCAGATAAACTGCAGACACGAGCCTGGACTCAGCAGGGGGTCATATCTCCTCCACCAACCAAACCCCGCCCCTGACTCTGCCCACTCCAGGCCAGGCCGGAGCAGAGGCCTGGGGTGGGGGTGGGGGGAGGGCTGAGGGCCTACACCTTACCCATCAATGGGGTGCTGGTCCAGCTGGCCAAACTGCCAGTGCACTGGGAAGATGTACATGTTGTAGTTCTTCTCGAAGTCTCGGGCCAGCAGCTCCACGGGGTGGTCTCCTGCCTCCAGACGCTTCTCATTCTCGTGGATCTTCTTCACCTGTGGGCCCAGAGACCATGTGTGACAAAGGGCCCAGGGGAGACCAGGGCTCACGCCAGTCAGGACCCCTCCCACCTCTGGCAGGGGGTTAGAGCAAGTAGTGATCGGCCAAGACCAAGGCCCACGATGAGGAAGAAAGAGGCAGCACAGGTTAGCATCAGCATCTCATTTATGAAAATGAGACATGGGTTGTTCTGGGTGGAGTGTACTCTAGAATTTTTCAAAGGGTGCTCCAGAGAGCTGGTGGTGTTGTTAGTCACCACCAAGTGGGTTTCAGGTCACACGGCACTCTATGTTTAAGAGAAGGAAGCGCAGCCCGGACTTATGGGATTTTCATGATCTTTGACATGCACGTCCCAACCCCCAGAACAATGCCTACTTCTTTGGGCTTTGGGCTTATAGTAGAGGATCTAGTGTTAGGAACTATGGGTCTCAACCAGTTCAGGGCCAAAGAGCAGAGCAGTTTGGGGCGAGGCCGGCCCCCTGGATGGGCTGGAAAGAGACCACTTACTCGCAGTTTCTGCTTCTCGGTCAGAAGGTTGTTGTCCTCATCCCGTTCATATAAGGTGACCAGGACGTTCTTGAGCCAGTCACGCATGCGCAGGGGGAATTCGGTCAACTCAGAGTCCAGGCAGGGGGGGATGTCTAGTTTGAAACAAGAGTGGTCAGCCCAGCCCCTGGTCCTCCCTGTGCAAGGGCCCGCTTGCCGTCTGGACAATCTGCTGACCCGGTGGTTAGCCACCCACTAGCTAGAGGTTCCAAAACTCCTCCCTGATCATGTACATCCACAAGCACCCAATCTTTCCCTGAAGAAACCCACAGCTGGGACACAGAGATTGACAGGTAACCATCTCACTTTGTAATAGAACATGTCTGCTCGAGGCCCCACGGAGCCAGCATTAGGGCCAGCTGCGAGCACGCTCCCTGCTGGGAGGCTGGCAGGATGGAAAGGGAGGCTCACATTTGCAAGGCCCGATGTAGTCCAGGTGCAGCTTGTGGCCCTTCTTGGTACCCTCCAGGGTGCACTTTGTGGCAAAGAAGTGGCAGGAAGAGTCGAAGGTCTTGTTGTCATTGCTGCACACCTGGTGGCCAAGCACAGGACACCCCTTCGTCACTCCTGAAGCCCTTTGCTGTGCCACCGTCCTCGCCCATGGGGACACGGAGGGCCAAGCAAGGAGGGTGATTAGCATGAGGTCACACAGGGAGTGGAGTTCGGACAAAGCCCCACTCTTTGCGGTCCCTGGACAATCAGTATCCAGCCCATGCGGAGCTAGAGGAACACACACGAGGAACACAGGCGAAAGGTGGAAAGTGGAGAGGCGGTGGGGGGGAAACAAGCTGTCAGGCGTGAGGCTGCTACCCTTCAAAAGGCCTGCTCATAGCGCTGCTCACGGGCTGGCATCTAGGAGTTTGGCTGGTAAACAAGTGGTCCATTGTGCCTAACTAGCTTAATAAACAGTATGGTCTCTTCTGACCACCTCCTTCCACTCCATCAGTCTGGGAGGCTGGTGGGTGCTAGGCAGAGGGGTCTCCAGGACCAGCCTCCAGACAGAACTGGGGGGGACGCGTCTCTAAGGAGCTCCTTCGGACATGCCCCCCCACTTGCTACGGCGTTTTCACTGCTTCAGAAAAAGGGTTCTCTCTTGACCCTCCTGGGCAGGAGAGCGCAAAGAGCCTGGGCAGAGATTGCTCCAAACCTAGATGGTTTTTCTCCCCCTGTGGACCCAGTGGTGTATGCGTATTCGGTATCCATAACCATTAACCTTAGCTGCGAGTCCAACTTTGCACCGAGGCCCCCAGGTCTGAGTGGGTCTATGACTGGGGATGGTGGCACAGAGACAGTGAGGGAGGTGACAGCAGGAGCCTGTGTGGAGGAGGGGAGGCTTAGGTTGACTATCTTGCAACTTCGTGTGACTACCGACTTTGTGTTGTTGATACAAAGCAGAGGGAGAATCGATGGGCTCACTGGGGAAGAGTGAGAGGGAGTTGGGAAGGGAGTAGGGGAGGAGGGGAGAGTTGATGCTGCTGCTGGAACTTGGAGCCGAAGGACATGTTGTACCAGGCCGAGCCTGAGGCTGAGAAGGCAGTGGGGAGGTTGCGGGAGTCACGTTGACAGCGGATGTGCTGCCCTGAGCAGAGCCTTACAAGCACGATGTTTGGCCTGGCTGCGAGATCAGTCGGTAGGAGGAGGCTGCAAAACGCTCGTGGATAAATGGAATTAAAGGATGACATCTGCTCCACTAAGTTCTTGAAGCCCCCAGCCTCTCCCCCTCCACCCCCTCTTGTATTTACTTGATGGATGAGTGGGGTAAGTCCCATTGAAGGTAAAGTGGACAGGCTGGAGAGATAACAAAAGAAGAAAAAGAAGTCATCCTTACTGGATATTTGCTATGTACCCAGTATGATCTGCCAAACCCTCACAGGGTCTCAAGAGATAAGGATGAGTTTCAGACCTCTTTAAAGATGAGAAGGCTCAAGACCCAGGTAGGTTCCATAACTTAGCTAAGATCTCACAGCTAGCCTAAGTGATAAGGGACCGGGGTTGAAGTCCGCCTGAAGCTTCACGAAGCGGCTCCTACACAGAGCAAACAGGTCCCCTGGGCTGATGCCGGGCATGGGGCTTGGAACCTGACAGCGCTGACCAAAGTCTCGCTGCTGGCTGGCACAACACGGAGTCTAGCCTCTGGGTCACCACACCTTGCTTGCTGGGACTAGAGCTGAGCGGTCGGGACATCTGAGGTTAGAGCTGCCTTGTGGAACCACCAAGCCGAGTCTTCTGGGCAGACACTCTGTGGTTGAAGAGCCCAATCTCCCACCCGCTGTCCCTCAGCCCTTACCTTTTCAAACTCGCCGATGGGGGCGGGGCAGCTGGTGGGGTCCTGGCACACGCACATGGGGGTGTTGCTTTCATCCAGCTCACACACCTTGCCGTGTTTGCAGTGGTGGTTCTGGCAGGGGTCTGGTGGTGCAAGGACTCCGAGTTAGCAACACCTGAGCTACCGCCCAACCCAGGCAAGACTGGTCTTAGAGCAGACAGGGCCGGGCTGTGGTCCCTATCCTGGGCTCTAGATGGCCAGGAGTCCTTGCTCGTGATCTGCAGGGGGCTCAGTCTGAGGGGCTCGAGGTTCAGTCTGTGATCCGATCAGACCCTCCTTTTGAGACTAAAGGCGCAGTCTGAGACCCAGACACACCGGAAGCCCTATCGTTGCCTCCGCCATGAAAGACAAAATGAGTTGCCATCAAGTCAGTTCCAATTCATGGCAGGGCCGTGTATGTCTGAAAAGAACCCGGCTTTATTCAAAGGCAACTCCAAGTGGGCTCAAGCCAGCCATCTCTCAGGTAGCAGCCTTCGCCACCTGCACCACCCAGGTGCTGACCAACCCCAGTGAGGCCTCTCTGAATTCTGGAGTAGAGTTTCTAGAACCACTTTAGGAAGTTAGCTGTTGTCATCGGTGCTGGGGGTGGGTGGATGAGAGTCACCGAGACATACTCAAGAGGCTAGAAAGGAAGAGCGGTGGGCCTTGAGGCGAACACTGAACAATAGGTCCAGCTGTGTCCGGCAAACACCGGATGAAGTGGGCGTGGACGAGGGAAGGAACTTGACTCAGTGCTCCGCTCGCTCTGAACCCCCAGACCCCCTCGGGATGGGAGCTTGATCTCGCCTTTTCCTCCTGCAGCTCGACTTTGGGCATTTTAATCACCCTTTATTGGCTGCTTCCTCAGCCAGGCACCAGGTCAAGTTGCACCAACCTACTCATATCCTTCCTCTCAGAACCTTCCCAGCAACCCTGGGGTGAGGGTCTACCACCCTCATGATCGCAATGCTCAAACCAGTAGTGCTGGAGTCTCCTGAGACTCGTGGTGACCCCAAGTGTGTCCGGGGCAGAACTCTGCTCCATCAGTCTTTGAAAAGCCTATGTTTCAGAAGTAGACTGCCAGCCCTTTCCTCTGCTGTTCCTCTGGGTGGACTCAAACCCCCAAATTTCAGTTAGCAGCCAACCAATGAACTATGGATAGCGCCCCGGGACTCTGTGTCCTGTTAGCGATATGGAAGCTGAGGTGGAGGGCCTCAAAGAGCGGCCTGTGTCCACTCACAGGGGGAGTGAACATGCCTAGATTCAAACCTTGGACGTTTTGCCCCCAAACTGCAAGGAGTAGCACGGTGGGCAGGGGGCCCTGGGTTATTTCTCCCCCTGTGGCACTAACTCCCTGGGTGGCATGACATGACCTATGCTAGGTTTCTGGGCCTCATATAAGCAGAGGAGGGTGCAACTATTGGTTCTCTCGGCTCTGCTCCCATGTGGGGACCCGGCTGGGGAAAAGCCCACTGGGAATCTCAGTGACCAGATATGACTGGGTGACGTCAGTGCAAATGTGACACCCCACTCTGGAGTCTGGGAAAAGAGCCGGGAGAGAGAAGCATTCTCCTGCTGGGAACGTCCCTTCCTACCTCTATAGCACGCATGGTCTCCACCTTTCCCAGATACCCGGGGACTGAGCGCTAGAGAAGACTCCCAACCTTTGTCAAAGCCACTTCCCCTCCACAGCCTTCTCAGGTCCCCACTGTGCACCTTCTTAGGAAGCAAATCATGTGAGTTGGTCTGTAGGCCACTCCCCACACCCTCGGCCTAGGCAGCAGAGGGCCAAGACTAGATGTGCCCAGTCAGGGGAATTAGACCTACTTTCAGCGACCACCTCCTCTTCAGGTTCCTCAGCACCTTCATCAAATTCTCCTACTTCCACCTGAACAGGGTTGGCTCCGACAGGCACCTAAGATAGAGAGGGAAGACAGAATGGAATGAGTCCTACCCCTACCTTGGACCTACGAGGTGGTATTAGACAGGGCCGAGAAAAAACACCTCATGGGGACCTGCAGGTTCCAACTGAGGAAAGGGAAAGGCGGGTTGAGCCAGGTCATAGAATACCCACCAAAAACCCAACTCTTTGCCACTGAGTCAATTCCAACTCATAGTGACCCTTTGAAGAGTTTCCAAGAAGACTTTAAATCTTCACGGGAGCAGCTGGTGGTTTTGAACCACTGACCTTGTGGTTAGCAGCCCAATGCCTTTCCAGCAGCGCCACCAAGGCTCCTTGTCAGAAAGCACAAATGACAGGGTCTAGAATTTAGATGTCATTTTACAGACCCACTCTCTTTCGTGGGTCCTCAAGGGTATTATGGCAAGTGGGGGCCCAACCAGCCCTCCACACCTTACAGCCGCACCAAAGTGGCTCCTTTATCTGGTTCATACATGAGGCGACTGTCCGTGATCATGGAAGAAAAACTGTGCCACAGCTTAAAACGTTAAAAAAGAAAAGAACACCGCAGCATTCTATGGAATGCACTCCAATTTGGGAAGTCCTCAAGTAGTGTCAGGGAGTGAAGGATGCACGGGATTGGCATGTGTGCTTGTGTGCCCATGGGAAGGGGAGAGCTGCCTCATCCCATTCATCTGGGTGCCCCAGGCAATTGAGTGGACAGGGAAGGATGAGGGATCTAAGCCTCCCACACATACCTCAGCCCCCTCAGCCAAGGTTTCCTCCACCACCTCTGTCTCGTCTGGCAGGGCTTCCTGCTGCTGGAAAGAGAAAATGGGATTCAGAGAGGTCAGGGCCAAGTCCAGCTTTGTCTCTGGGGTCCCTCTAGCCCCAAACACCAGGGCTGGAGGAGCCTGGGGAGCAGGCCGTGGGGAGATTGCCGAGGTTAGACCACAGCTGCCCTGGGTGGAGATGTCACAGGAGAAGCTGAACATCGGGGCTTTGGGACAGTGGAGCAGATCTTTTATCTAAGAGCTAGCTTGAAGGAGTGTTTCCATTTACACTGCATAGAATTCTTAGAAAGCCTGGACACCCCTGATCCAGTACTACTCCCCTCATCTTACAAATATGAAACCTAAGACCCAAAGTAGGAATGACACTATAAATTTGAACATTTTCTTCCCCACAAGTATGATGATAGTCTTACTATCATTGCCATTCTTATTCAAACAGTGGAAGTGGTATGGTACAATAGTATATAGATCTGAGGACCCTGGGTAGCAAGGGCTACTTATAAAATTAATGCTAATACTACACACACGCACACCCCACTTTTTTTTTTTTTTTTTGGACCAAGACCTACAGGTCTAATCAAGACTACCAGAGTCAAGCATCACTCAGACCCCTTTCAGGAAGGCTGCTCATTAATCCTGCCCTATATTTCTTTCTCCTTCTTCTAGAAAATGCTGTCTTCCAGGTTCCACTTTGGATAACACTCCAGGACCCCTGTATGCAATTCTCGGAGCAAGTGTCAATCAAGGTTCCCCACCCTCCCCTGGTCCTCAGCACACTGGCTCTTCTTGTATTGTTCTAACCTGCTGGGCATTCTCTTCAGTCATGGAACGGCTGGAGTTAATCCACTCCAGTGCCTCCCGATTCTGGAACTCCCAATTCCAGCTCCCCGGGTCTTGAATCCACAATACCCGCATCCTGGGGTACTTCCCCTCGTGTTTTCTCAGACTGAGTGTACTGTTTGCAATCACAAACACTGACTGACTCAGACACTAATCCATCCATCCATCCCCCTCTCTGCAGCTTGACTCCCTTCTACCATCATCCCACCACCCGTCTCTCAGGTATCTCAGACGACCAAAAGCTTTCTAAGTCAGAGCCGAAGAGCCCTCCTCCTACGAAGTCTGTCTTCACGTTGCACATAGAATCTCTCACGCCTGGAACCTCCCCCTGATGGACCTCATCCCAGCTTCTTCAGAGCTCCTGAGACAAGGGGTGGGGGTGGGGTGGGTTTAAGGAAACAATGCAACAAACTCAAAATCGGGAAGCCCCTGTCCCCTCTACGCATCTAAGGCTGGCAAGGTCAGAAGTCCAGGAGCTGATGGTAAAAGCTACAACCAAGAAGATGTCATGTTGGCCGTTACTCACCGGTGCTGCTAAGGCCCTTCCGGCCAGGCAGAGGAGGAAGAAAATCCAGGCCCTCATGGTGCTGAACCCTGCGGGGTCACAGAGAGGAGAGCGAGGTGAATGGGAGCCGCCCCGGGCAGAGGTCCTGCCCACGGTGGATTCTGGATGACAGGTGAAGTCCTTGTGCACCGTCCCGAGAACCTTCTTTAACACAGGGGCAGAAAGCTGCTTCGGCTCAGTCCCTTTCCAACGCTGCATGGTGCGGGGCGGAGATGTCTTTAGCACCTCGCTCACACCCCCCTCTCCCCGTTTACGAAGGGAACAGGCCTCTGACTCCACACCTCCAAAGAGATGGTGGTTGATTTTGTTTGGAGCCCCCAGGTCTGTGCCAATCAGATGCAACCCCCCTTCCCCCGCAGCACGGAAAAGCACTGCCCACCACTGCTCCATCGGCCCCATCCTCACTGCGGAGTGGTCCAGCTCACTCCCCCCGCCTGTCCCCTGACCTGCTGCTCTACTGAGCCTCCCTCCTGACAGCCAGGCCAAAGCCCGTAAACGAGGGAAACGAGATCCTGCTGGAATTCTGTAACGCCATTTTGTTTCCTTTGGGCTCGTGTTTACAGTTTCCTTCTAGTTACAGCAGATGTACACGGATTTTTTCCATCTATGGCAATGACACCAATCTCCTTTCCCACATACTTCTGGGAGGTTTTAGAGGGTGATCCAGGGAAGGCGGCGGGCTGGTCAGTGGAGTCTCAGCAAGGCCAAAGCAGACCCTCTTCAAGGGCCTGCCAGTGCCAATGGTCTGGGATTCTCGTTTCCCTCCACCCCAAGCTCTCTCCCCTCCCCCCTCCCCCCACAGTGGGAGAAGTTCGTCAGCAGAAAGCCTCTGGCTGATTGAAGACAATAAGATCTCCGTTCGGAAACAAAGAACAGTGATCTTGGAGTGTGGCCAGTGGAAACCTGAGGGCGGCCACAGTTTTCTCCCTTCTACCCAGAAAGGACATGTCTCTGGACCAACGAGGGACATTTGTTTCCCTTTCCCAGCGAAAGAATATCAGCTGAGATTCAGAAAACCCTCCGACTCTGGTCACTGCTCCAGGAGTCCTGGGGGCACTGGGGGCTAAGCGTTGGGCTGCTAACTGGAAGGTCGGGGGTTCAAACCGACCCACAGAATCCCTGTCCAAGAGGTTGCTCAGAGTCCGAATGTGCTCCCCAGGGGTGGGTTTGGTCACTGCTGAGACACCTGGCCTGGGGGTGGCCCTCTAGACTCCAATAAAGCAGTCTCAGAACTGTAAAGGATCTTGGGGCCGGATCTTCTCTGATGCCTCAATAGCAAAACACCAGACCATCACACTGTATTTACAGTTGAGAAGAGTTGATACCTTGTCTAACTAAATGGACTTCACTTTCCAAAAAATGGCCTCTCTTATAACTGCTGCAAATTTGCTTCCCTCGATCTCTGGTCTGCCCTGATGTCCTAGCCACACGGAACAAGCCTCCCCCTTCTCCTTTCAGCCATCTCGAGTGGGCAAGACTCGGTGACCTTAGGTGTCCTTCTGAGGCCCGTAAAACACCCTAAGGTGGCACAGACACAAGCTCGCCTGTGTGCACGCCATCACCTCCGGTCTTGCCCTCGCCACCTGGATTGTGTGTGGTAGTTGGGTGTCAGAAACGAACACAGTAAGAGCAGACTACATAATCGTTCATGGGGTGGTGGTATGTGTGTGTGTGCACACGCTAAAATAGACTCAAAAGCTCATGCCCTTGTCCATGTAGTCTGTATGAAATGAGACAGAACATAAAGGCCTTGACTGGAGAACCCCCCCGAAGAGTCCAGCCATCCCTTTCCAGGCAGTTTCTGGAATGTCCCTTTTCCTCCTCACACAGTTACATACTTATTCCCCAGGTTTAGAGGTGGAAAAATCTCCCTGCCTGCTTTTTCAGTTGGAAGACTCAAACTAAACAGCCCCAGCTTGTGGCTTTGGATGCGCGAAGCAGGAGGGAAAGCATCAATGAAGAACTTGTCTGAGAGGGTTTGATGTCGATGGGCCAACGTGGGACTGCCGGCTAAATGAAGTCATCCTGTGTGACCGCTCAGGGAAGACACGTCATCGGAGAGTCAACCCGCTGGGACTGGAAATGCAACAGACGCTGTGTCGGAGCGCCAGGAGGACCAGCGTTTCCTGAGTCTTTGCTGTTTTCCTGAGTAAAGACACCAGAAGTCCCCCTTTGGCACGCCTCACATTCGTCCTTCTCACTGTCTCCCTCTACTTCTTTCCCGCAACACAGGAGTCCTGTCTGCACCCGCCCTTGGAGATGCAGTCAGAAGGGAACCACGGTTCTTAGCCTTGCTATCCGACTGTGCGCTGGAAAGGGGACTCGGCAGAGAGGAGTGAGGTCAGCACTGACCACTTATCCTTTGTCCTCCCTTTGGACACGATGGAAATGTGTCCCAGTCTTTATCATTTCCTGCTGTCTTTTCGACATCATATTTCCTTATTGTTGCTGGTGTCTTTTTTGCATGTCTGTTTTTCTCTATGTAAGATCCGGGATAGGCAAGTCTATAGAAATGGAAACTGGATTAATAGTCTCTTGGGGTTACAGCAGAGGAGGCTGGGGGGAGATGGGGGCATACTAGTGAGGACAAGAAAGAAGAACACATTTTAAAATGGATTGTGGTGATGATTGCACGAGTCTTTTTAGTATGTTTAAGCCATTGAATTGTATGATAGGTGAGTTCTATGTCCTTAAACCTGTTAAAATTAAAAATAAATAAAATGTAGAAAAGGATTCTTTAACTCTCATAGTGTTTCACATACATACTTCCTTAGAGTCCCTGGGTGGCATAAACAGTTAGGCACTCAGCAACTAATAAAAAAGTTGGCAGTTCAAATCTACCCAGAGGTCCACTGGTCAGGTGATCTCCTCCCAAAAGATCAGAGCCACTGAAACCCCCTGGGGACAGCCCTACAGTGCAGTATGTGGGCTGCATGGAGTTGGACTCAAATTGGCTTGGTTTGGAAGCTTCTAACATCAGAGGGCAGACGGAAAGGTCTGAAAGCGATTTTAGTCCCCCTTCCTTGCGACGGTGCTGGGATTGAGAGGGAAGATGCAAGTGCCAGAAGTCTCTCAACATCGCCATTCACGTTGATGTGCCTCCCTTCTCATGAAGTAGGAAGGAGCCTAAGAGGGACTATGCTCAGAGTCTGGGTGAACGGTGGGGGGGCCAAGGCAGGCAGAGTGTGTTAAGAACAGAACATGATCAAGCAGTATTTTCCAAATGTGGGGTTCTGCTGAGTGCTGGTACTATGCTCCCCATTCCTGGATACAGTTCCTTCCCGACATTCTGATGGAAAGGAGGGGGAGGTGCGGGATGATGCCTACATGCTCAGCCATAATCTCCGCACACCCTCTCCCAGGTTCTCTGCATGCCACCAGCCGAAGGGACCAGAGGTGTCCGTCCAGCCCAAGATGAGAGTGGTGGGCAGCAGGAACCCCAGTCTCATCAGCTCTGCACACTGTCTTTGGCAATCAAGTCCAGGACTCACGCATCCACAGGAATTTAAGCCCGTTCTAAATAAATGAGCAGGTCCCCCCAACCCTACTGTCAAAATTGTATTAAGTTAAATCTCCCCTTGATGTGTTTCTTCAGCTAGCTATATGGGAGATGCATGTATGTATTCTTTTCAAAGTCTTTCATAATTCAGCACACCATGTGAAGGTCAAAGCGTGTCGCTCTGCCCTTTGGCACCGGTGGGAAGACTGAGTTTCAGATAGGGAAGACAGCTGCCCCGCCCCAGGGAGTCAGTGGCAGACCAGGGCGAGGACCCAGGCAGCCCCAGTCAATCTATGTTGGTGCTCTCCACCATGGCACGCTCTTTCCCTTGGTGGCCACTATCTCCTAGGGGGGCTCCTGAATGGCACTCAGTTGGGCTGTGGAGCGGCCAAGCTGCTGCAGGAGAAAAGAGTCCAGGCCAGCGGGGCAGGAGGTGTATTTCCATTGGCTCGGTGGCTCCCAGATGCAGACACCCCCGCCCCCCCCCCCCCCTCCCCCCCTCCTGTTCCGTACATCCAGTCCCTTCCTCCTGCTTTTATTTTCTCTGGAGACTGCCGAAAACCCAGCCTTGGCTGCCAGCGGGACCTGAAGCAAAGGTCACTTCTCTCCTTTTAGAAAGACTCCGGCCATGGAAAAGTACATCCAGCCCCCCAGCCCACCTCCTGTGGAACTTGAAGGGGCTCCTTAGGGCTCTCACAGGGCCCTGAACAGTCTCAGTGCATCAGAGCCAGGAGGAAATCACAGAACCAGAGAATTTTAGTTCGTGGGTCTCAGGATCATCAATTCTTAGGTTGCAAAGCACAATCTGAATTGCAAACTTCACATCTTGAGCAGAAAGGGCAGAACTCGGAGCCAGGAAGCTCAATAGAGCAGTCTGAGCTAACAGAGACCGACAGGCCACACCACACGAGGTGAGCAGGCACTGGGAATGTGCTAGTGCATATGAGGACCCGAATTTAACATTTTATTCCCATGTGGCTACTGGCTCCCACATCCAATGGAGCAGTTACAAATTTTTACAGAGGCCATGTGTGTAGCATAAAGGTAAGTCACAGGGTGGGCACTGGAGCCAAAATGTACAGGTTCAAACCCCGACGCTGCCGCTTAGCAATTGTCTGGAAGAGCATCTTCAAAGAAAAGACCCCAGACTCTTTCCCACTGCAGGAACCTCAGCTTTCGGCCGCAGGCCTTTGGAGAAAGGACTGAAACAAAGAAGATGCGTCGCCCTTCTCGATCCAGGGGACACTGGATCAAGGCTGGGCCCCAGCTGGCCACTCGTTGGGCTGCTGACGCAAGCCGAGTGTCTCCCTCCCACCGTTTGGCTCACAGACAAAGGTTTCTCAAAACACGAGCTCCCGGTAAAGAAGCCCAACGAGAGGAAAACAAGTGCAGAGGGAATCAAGGAGCCCATGAGCCAGTCCCAGCAGGAGCCCAGATTTGGAAGGAGGTGTGGGCTGAGCCCCTGTCCCACTGGCATGGCCACACTGATGCTCCTGCTGGTATGTAACCTCATGACACATTAGTCAAGAG